ATCTGCTTGGAAATAAGTTTATTTTGCAAACTGATCATAAGCCACTTTTATCAATTTTTGGTGAAAACAAGGGACTGCTAGTAATGGCAGCGGCTCGTATTGAGCGATGCGCTTTGACATTGTCTAGGTTTGATTATACCATCGCATATGTCAAGGAGTCAGAAAATTTTACAGATAATATTTCTCATATACTCAAAGCTACATCTCCTTCTGTAGATACGGATGATAATAGTTACATAAATTTTGTAACCAAAAACAATGAACTAAATTTAGATTTCAAAGTCATTTCACAAGAAACTGCTCGCGACCCTTGTTCAGTAATAGCCGCTATTGCAACTGGAAAGTTACATTTATTAAAAGACAAAATATTTTTGTCTTTTCAAACTAAAAATATAGAGCCTTCAATTGAGTGCGGATGTATATTATGGGGTTTTAGAAGCGTAAATCCTCGAACATTGAAAAACCATATTTTAAAACAATTACATACGTCTAATTTAGGCATTGTAAAGACGAAGGCTTTGGCTAGATTCTATGTTTGTTGGCCGAATATAGATAAAGATATAGTAGAGCTTATATATAACCGTGTTTTATGTAAAAAGGTAGTCCATTAATTCCGTGGCAAATGCCTAGCTCAGTATAGTCGCGCATTCACATTGATTTTGTCGGACCAGTGAGGAACGTTTACATTTTAGTTGTAGTCGAGGCATATGCTCCAAATGGGTAGAAATTTGTAAAACCAAACATATAACAATGGCGTTCACGATTGAGAAATTAAAAGAGTTATATTGTAGATATGGTTTAGTGGATACCATAGTGATAATGGAACCCAATTTACAGCATGGGAATTCCGACAATTTTTAAAAGATAATGACATTAAACACTTTCTTACACCTCCAGGGTTTTCAGCTACAAATCGGTAAGCCGAAAATTTTATTAATACTTTTAAAAAATAGCTTGAAGCAAGTTTGAGCTCTGGTGAAAAAGGTAGTTTAGATATAGTGCTCAAAAGATTTCTGTTTGATTATCGTACTATGAAACATTGTACAACAGGAGAATCTCCAGCTACATTTATGTTAGGTAGAGGAATGGAAACGCGATTCGTTTTACTAGTAAACCGTCACTACCACGGAGGAGGATGTGAATTTAGATAGTGGTACTTATCCATCCTAATAATAATTTGTTGATAAATATTTCATAATTATTATTATATAATTTATAATATTTAATTTATAATACATAATATATAATTTATAATGTATAATTTATAATATATAATTTATAATATATTATTTATAATATATAATTTATAATATATTATTTATAATACATAATTTATAATACATAAATACATAAATAAATATATAATTTTAAAATGATTTGCAATTATATTATATATGTATTTATATTTTATATCTTACTAATGTATATCGTGCATATTTATATAGATGTATAGTTATCATCTGAAAAAGAGGGCTGTAGAGTTTAAGCTTTTATAAAAATATAATAAGTTTTGTATAAGAGTAGAAAATAATAGAGTATAATAGTAAAGTTAGCTTGTTAATTTATAAATTATAATTAAATAATTAAAAACTAGTATTAATCCAAACCTAAACGTGAATGCTATAAATATAATTATATAATAAATTACTATATATATTATAGTATATTATATGATATAATACTAATTTAATATACTTCTCATTTTTATTACTTGGAGTTTTTGATGCGATGTCATCACTTTTGAAATCATTTATATCAAATGGTAAATTTCCGTCTAAATAACTTGTATATCCATTAAATGTACTTTTTATCATATTCTAAATAAAGAAAATTGGTTAAAATTTGGTTCGGTATTAAATTATATATAAATTTACTATTGATATCGATGACTGTTCATCAGGTAATTGCAAATCTGCATCTCGTTCTGGCGAAGGAGCATCGATATCAGGCGATGGTATAGGACTACACAAACTCGGTAATATATCGTCCAGTTTTTTTTTTACTTGTTTTACTCGAGATCCAAAGTTTTTATATGCCTAATACATATTCACATAAAACAATAGAATAAATAGTATTATAAAATAGTTAACTCATATAACTTCACTTACATTGACTACAACTTTGACTTCGCCTCGCTGATGTGTATAGAACTTAATAGCTGTTTCCAAATTAGAAAGTAATGCCTTCCTACTATTAATTTCGATTAACAAGTTAGAGTTATAGATTTCCAAACAATGTATAGACTGTAAAATATTTCTTATTATATCATCAGCATCTCGTTTATCTCTTAATTTTACTTTTACATCATCAGAATCATAATTAGGTCCTTTGGGAATATTTTTGAAACTCTTATCTGTGCAAGTTGACAAAGCCATACATTCTCGAATGTTACCAACAATGTTCGTATGCTGCAATGAAGTAAAAATTAACTATCAAAATATTATCTCTAAGATGCATACATACCTGAAAATCTGATATATCTATCGGGTTGCGAGTTTTTTTAAGGGGCTTTATATTTAATAACCCTCTTAAATCACTCAAGTATTCTTCATTATATACATCGCGTTCTTCCCATATATGAAATATTCTCAGTATTTTATTTTTGACTTTATCATCTCTGTAAAAAATGAATTATGTTATTTAAATGAATATATATATATATTCATATATAAATGTATATGCAAACATATTTTCCATATATACCTGACCATCGTTGTGGCTTTTTGTAATGCAGTTGCCCAACTTTCGACAAATTCATACTTTTTCCTTTTGCTATATTGAATAACATCATTGGCTAAGTAGAATAGTGTAAGTCTATGTTCAATATTCACTATAATATAAATTAAAAATGATTTATTTAAAACAATTTTTATACAAAACTTAAAGCAATAAAAAAAATATTAAAACGTTATAAAATGTACACTTTATTTTCAACATTTATAGCGACTAAAGTGTGACTTAGAAATACACCTTAAGCAAAACTGACGACATGCACATCTGTTTGTGAAATCCCTTACCATTCTCCCTTATTCGCCCCCCTACCTGCAACTATCACCAGTCCACATCCTTACCCATGTACTCATCTTGTAAACCTTTTCATTTTATCTGCTTTTAAGTTCCAGTGGATTACAAAAACAACAACAATATACATGTCTGCTTATTGGAAGCATCCCTTCCGTCCATCGATCCCTTTCTGTAGATCATGAATATATCGATACCTATTGCCATGAAGCTAACATCAGTGGGGTGGAATATAAACGTACACCTCCACTACAGCTCCACCATCCATAAGGTCGACCACCTGTTTTGCTGTTCCAATGTACACACAAACTTAACTCCAATCGATCTTTTACTCTCTGAGCGTTAAAACGACCAAAGCCCTCATCAGAACTTATACAAATTTGTTGAAAGCTCGAATTTCTATTAATATAAGGATTACGATTTGTACACACGGTTATTTATAGAGTAACTTTTTTTGAATTAAATAGCTGAGGTTGGAATGGCAGCCTTGTTTCCAAAGCTCACTTAGGCTCAAATAATGGCCGTTGTAGTACCACAGATGAGCGTTTGTATGTGTGCCATCTAGAGGTTGATGGACGATCAACACCGAAAGGCACAACACTGCCATTAGGGAAAGGTGAACCAACCTGACAGTTCTATAAATTTGGCTTAGTCCCTAATTTTGCAGGATGAAAGCCTGGTTAGGTCGGTAAGAAGAGGAGTTATGACGTTTTAAAATCTTCTTATAGCTATGGATAGTTATTCCTCCTCCTCATTCTCAGAGCCACAACTTTGACAAAAGTCATTATAAGGTCAACCTAGCTTCATAGCATGTCTTTCTATTACGCAGTCACACGTCAGATAAAATTGAACAAAGCTTTTTAAAGCATAGCTTTGTTTTTTGGATTATGTACATATCCTTTTAGATTTTTATAATTTTGAATTAAACATTGTAATTATTTTTTATTACAATACCTTAAATAAAAAAATATTCTATATTAGTAAAGTATATAAATAATAAGTTAATAATATAAATAAATAATAAGTAAATAAAATAAATTAATAATAAGTAAATAAAATATATAAATAATAAGTAAAAAAAATACGTAAAAAAGTAAAGAAAATATATTATTTTTGTATATTTTGGAGTCAATCGTTCCAAGATGACCAAGTGCTGCATACTGACACCAACAGCAAATGGCCCAAAGATACCCGAAGGGAGCATGTTCCAAAATATTTTATAGAGTAAATATTCAAAGTTTAAAATATTGAAATATAATGGATAATATTGAAATTGACTAAAATGGTTACTAAAATTAATCATAAGCCTGTCGCTTCATTTGCACATTTTTATTGTGTGATTTTAGAATAAGAGTTCAGAAAACATTAGGAAAAATACTTTATATTTTACAATTAGACAATTAAAGCATTTAACAAATTAATATACATTTAATGGTTAAAAAATAACTAAAATTGGGCAATTATCGTATAGATGAAAGGGATATAAAACTCTTTTGGTATTAATAAAGTTTTAATGAAAGGATAACTACTACAGGCAACAACAATTTGATTACAAATTCGAGCGAATAATAGGGTTCCCAGAAATAGTAGCGTCCATATAACATCTGAAAAATTAGGATTTCAACCAATCCTATATTTTCGTAAACTTTTTGTAAGACTTAGACATTTCCATACAATTTTAAAATATATAAATTATATTAAAAACTCGAAAAGTTCATAATTAGAAATAATAATGCGATTTATAATTTAATATTAAATTGATTTTTAACGTCCGTTTCGACGAAAGAAACTAAATTCTTAATAGAAACTATTGTTTTCAGTATAATATAAAACAATTTCGAATAGTGTTAAATCGCAATAATAAATTTTTAATATTTTATCAATTAATTGAATATTTGGCTGACCATAGAGCTGTTTCGAGTATTGCCAAATGCCCATTATAATTTAAACTATCCGTTGTCAGTGTCGAAAACGACTTAATGGTAGAACTATGAGAAATTTGAGTAGTCTCATATCCATGATAGTCAATCTTTTCCTAGTAAAGGATTATACAATTATTTACGTGTTAATTTCTAAGTAAATGGAAAGAGGTTTATGGATATTGTTTATATAGTAAACAAACAGTTTTGTCAAAGTTTCTTGTACTTTACTTAAAATTCGATAGTTCATTATCTTTCATATAACAGCCAAAATGATTCAAAAAATCAACTAAAAGAAGTAAGCTGTGATGTGTGGGATGTGCTATTTCAAAACCTACTTCAGCATTTATTACAAAATATTAATTACGTATAATATAATATTTTTAATATTAGCAGGTACTGAACTGTTAAGTGGCAGTAGCACAATAGATTCACTATTTACTTTGTAACTTTGTTAAGTCTTTCCATATTCATATTTAAATAGTAATTAACTTGTTTTTAAAAATAAATTATTTTATACATTTACCAAAAATTAAAAATATAGCAAATAAAGCGAACTTTAGTACAAATAATCATTTAAGCATAATTTTCAGGTCTGCTTTAAATGTATTTTTTTTTTGTGTGGGAATTGTTTGTTTTTGATGTTGTCTACCTTTTTTAAACACATTTAGCCAGGAAGCTACGATTTTCTTATGAAATTTTCTATGGGTCAAACACCATGTCGATAAGTGCTGTATTCCTTCTTGGCTGTCTTTTAAGCCTTCTAAACGTTTCTCGAATAGTCCTTCCTCAAATTCAGTCATTATATTAATGCGAACGTACGATGGCTGCAGCCTTTGATTTTGGTTCCCGCATTCGTCAAAATTGTGCTAATACCAGAGAATAAGTTATTTGTTTTTCTCAAGCACTATTTTTACAATTTGACGATAGTAATACGTATTAAGTCAATTTTATTTTATTTTGTATTGCCATTAGTTTTATTATTCCGCGTTTCTGTTTTCCCACAATTCTGTCATTTTGTTGACAGTGTGGTGAAAAGAGCACTTTGCGCTTTGTCAACCGTTTTTATATTTTCTTTCGTTTTTAACAATTTGTTAGGCAATCCCGATATCGTATTAGATCAATTCTTTATTTGCTTAATGGGGAATTTATTAACATCTACACATTACGAACTTTTGGTAAAAATATAGACCCGCGTGCCTTCTATAATCAAGCGCCATATTATTTCCATTCTTTACTGAGTATTTAATAAATTAACCAAGGTTGCATTTGCATTGGACAAAATATGCGACGACTGACTTTTCGCTGTCGTCATTTTTAAAATAGTATTCACATAGCAAAAAAAAAATCTACTCCTAATTATATATAATGTGTATATTTGGAAAATATCTCATATTATTATTATTCGTTTTATTAAAGGTATTTAGGATGTCTGTGCATCATTACAAACTCAAATAATAGTGAATGCATTTTGTGCATATTAGTTTTGCATATATTTAGAACAGCTGATTTTTGTTTATGTATTCATATACTTGTAGTACATAAGTCAGAACCGATATGCATAATTTTAACGATGCCAAGATATATATTGAGTGAAAAACAAAATATATTGAATACTTTTTTTGTTTATTAAACAATATGTATTTATTGAATCACTTTAAATTAAAGCCTAACAACAACTTTTAGAATCTTAAAGACAACATTACATTACAAATTATTTTATATAAACATACTATAATGAAATACAAAATGATTTGTAAATTATTTTAAGCGGCCTCCGAATAAATGGCCAGGGCATATTGAATACTGTGCTGGATTTTGCTGTTTTGGAATTAATGGGTAATTTAGATTGCCCATAGATTGCAGTTATATGTATAATAAAGCAGTACATTTATATTCATACGAAAATTAGAAATTAACTAGATGACGATGTAATAAGTGACATTTCAGTTAATTTAAGAGAAGAAATTTCCACAGTGCTTTTGTGCCGTCGTGGAATTTCGTCAATGGTTCCAAAATCTATTGAATGGTCCACTGATGTTCTCACGACTATTGATGAAAATTGATTGCGACAAATGCTACGAGTTAGGTGACTACAATTCCACAAAATTATAAATCTTTTAGCTAACGTTGAAGAGTTTACTAAATTGAATTCATCTAAACAATTTCCTGTAGAACTACAAGTTTCAGTAGTTTTGTTCAGATTAGGATCAACTGGTCAAAGCGATCCATTAAAAAAATTACAGCAATTTTTGGAATAGAAGATGATGGAACGATAATGAATATAACACGCATCGTTTTCAAGACTATTTTGAAATTATATGTTAATGCATGTGAACGTTCCCAGCAACTATGCACGAGCTGAGTTACCTTTCTGCGTTGGTAATAAAGTTGGCTGAAAGTCCCGTTAACAATCACACAACTTATTTTTCCCAACATCACGTGCACTCCATTAAAGCTCAAATTGTCAAATTGATTATAAGATTATAAGCTGCAGTTCGACATATTGTAGTAGGTCATCCAGGTAGTTAGCATGATGTAAAAATATATCGTTATAGCTCAATTTATAAACAAAAGAAAATTTTTTTTCGCATGGAGAATGGATTGCGGGTAATTCAGCATATCCTTTATCAGAATATATATTAACACCATATAGAAATAATGCGCATCAAATGAGTAGAGATTACCGAATTGATTTAAATTTGCGACATAGCTCATTTTGAGTACGTGTTGAGTACTGCTTTGGCATAATAAAGGAAAGATTTGGAAGTCTGAAAGAACTTCGGATGCGTGTCCGTATCAGCTATAAGTATGGCTTTAATTGGATTTCAGTTTGTTGTATTTTACGGTCGTGTACGAGTTTGAGTAAATTGAAATTTCCTAAAAATTTTTTCCTATGCACTTATGTACACTTATTTATTGCACTTTTTTATTACTTTTCCGTTAAAAGTTTTCAAATTTATTTATTTATTTATTAAACATTTTATAAAATTTTCACAATGGTAACACCTAATTTTTATCTAATTTACCCTACTCAAAATTCTGGTGAATACCAACATTAGCTGTCATACCGACATAATATAGTATTTCCCTCCATATTCCATCAATTTACTTGAACTCGCACACGGTCTAAGTATATAAGATAAAAATACTTACAATTGCTCTTCTGATAGTCATTTTGTTATATATTATTTAGATTAATTAATTTTTAGAGTTTACAATTTTTATTTTTTATATTGTACATAACACAACAAAAAACATATGGATTTTAAATAGTTTAAAAGTGATGCGAATTTGTTTAAATTAGACTTAATATTGCTTTTTACAACTCAGATTTATTAATCGAAAACGGCACTAGTTTGCAATAGAATTTCGTTCTTGTTAATTGTTCTTTGGTTTAGCGGAATATTAGTTCAGGGCAGCACTATTTTAGGTAGTTTATGTTTGCATTTTCGTTTAGTTTTCACTCTTCGTTCAAATGGTCTGATTTCTTTCGTTGTTGATTTTGTACAATTTCGCTTTAGCTGGACACAGCTGATTGTACCAGCAAATGAATCAAGTTTGTTGTGTTTATTGGTCGGAGGTGCTTGAGTAATGGAACGAGTAGATTTCACAATTGACAAAAAAATGGCAAACCACATTAATGGCAGTATCAAGGGATTAAATGAAAACATTACGACGAGTAAGTGAAAAATGTATGGTGCATCAACATGACAATCAATACAAATCAGTCCGTAATTAATTATTATATCAAACTATAATAGTACAAAACCATGTAATGAATATGTTAAACGAAGTCTGGTAATTATTTGTTATTAATTTGTACACATGTAATTATATTTAAATATTTTTTATTTCTATGTAATTAAAATTTTCTCTATGCGCCTAAGTGGTCAAGCGGCAATTTAAATGTTGTTAGCTTCAATGGATTTAAATTATATATTTATCAAGAGCTAAAATACAATAAGAAGTATTCAAATTAACAAATTGTATAGTTATGTAAGACTACTATTCATGTAATGTGGTATTTGCGTACTATATTATTTTTTTAATACAAAATTTTTTTCTGCATAATTTCGAAAGCCCCTTCGTTAGAGTTCAAAGTTTGCAAACAGTCAAATTATGACAAAAGCTGCATTAATTATATATATTTGTTAAACATACTTGTTGAACACAGACTTCAACTTACACATATAATTTATTAATTAGTTTCGGTTTGTTTTATATAAAAAATTATAAAATCTATTAAATTTTTCGTTGTATATCACATAATTAATTTCTTTGTGCTTTTTCAGATAAAAAAGAGATTCATCGAACAGACGACTCTTGGGAGGAAATATCTATAGAAGTGCCTTGGGGAACAGTGCAGGGTGAGTTTTTGTTATGTGTATATTCATAAGGTTGTTGCTTCTGAACAGAACTATTACTAATATAATGAATAGGTTTACGCGCAATTAAATGACCTAAAAATCATTTATATTGTCTTTACCTTTTATAAGGTAAATAACCTTTTATAATGATAAAATATGGCAGATCAGGGAAACTTTAGTATAAGTGAAGATATCTATCAATATTTTATACAATACATACTAATTAAAAAATAGTTTGTAATTTTTATACTTTATAATGCATATCAGCTCATAAATATGTTAATTATTTTATGCAAAATAGTTAAATACTCAATGACGTTGGTGTCTGCGAACTGCACGTTTCGATAGTTCAAAGTTTACCTTTTCAAGCATAAATAAATAAATTTAAATTGTTAATTTCCATCAAATCTTTTTTTTAGCTGACTAATGATTATGATTGGTAGATTACCGAACAATATATCTTATCACAATGTAAATTCAGTTTTTTAAAATTTAATTGTATGAAAACAAATTTTCGCTTACCACTGATAACGTATTCGGCTAGCAAATGAAACAGATTTCAATGATTCAGTTATCTCGTGATATTAGACTGTCGTATAATTTTTGTGGGTAAACTTAGGTTGATCAATTAAAAACGTTTAACAAATGCAATATATATCCTCATAATCGATCATAATCAAGGGGGACATGTTTTATATATTTTTTTCGAACAAAAAAAGATAGAATAGAATATGAGAAGACTATTTTTTTTAGATATATTACATTTCTAAAAAATTACATTGATTTTTAATGTTAGTTTTGACGAAAGAAACTGAATTCTTAATATAAACTATTGCTTCCAATAGGGAGGTATTTCGAACAATAAATGATATAATAGATATTGAACAGAATTTGATGTTATTATTGTTTTAGTTCGATTGGTGGTCATCAGCGATTCTTAGTCGTTGTTGTAAACCGTGAGAACCTGTAAGCAGATAACATGAATAGGTTTATAAGACGATTACATGGGTGAAAAAGTAAATGGGAAGTGGTTGGGGGTGATGGAGGGCGAAATGAGAAGTGTTGTATTCCGTTGATAACTGTAAGCAGATAACATGAAAGTTATACAAGACGATTACATGGGTGAAGAAGTGGATGGGTAGTAGTTGGAGGTGATGGATAATAAAGGGTAGATTGGCTGGGTGCTATTTAATTAAATTCAGACACAGAAACCTAGCCACTTCAATGGAGTGGGTCCAAAAATCAATTGGACGGAGGTTTGTGTGTGTTGTAGGACAGGAAAACCGATGGGCGACGTCATGGGTAGTAGTGCTGCAGTTTGGGCATATATTAGGTATAAACACGTTTATGCGTAACAAGTAACTGTATAGCACGGCTGTATTCTGATCTCAATTGAGCTAGGACAATTCTTACGTCCTAGAGAGACGTCGTTTTTCCAGGTAAATGTTATCATTTAAAATCTATCAAAATGAAATATGTCTCTTACGTGCAGCATGAAACGTACTTATTAAGTTGGATTACAGATACAGCCACGAGGTAAATAGTTCCTTGCCATGCATAGAATTTGTCTGTCACCAATGTAGGATCTTTACTCTATAAAGATTTCTGTCGTAGTTGTGGGTCTATTAATGAGGAGAAAATTACACTCCACCTCATGTGCAAGTGCTTATTACGGGCTATAAGAAGATTTAAAATATGCAAGGCTTTAAAATATACAAGTCCTTAAAGATTAGGGACTTGTCCACTTTTACTGTAGTCTGTGTATGTAAAGCGTATCACAACGAGCTATTATTTAAATTCAAGTAAGCTTTGTGTGCAAGGCCGCCACTCTAACTTATCCTTATCAATCGTGACATCTA